TTCCAACATCTAGTATGGTCTCTGGAATTTCATGGGTGCTTTATAAATGTTTATAATTACATATATTTAAAAAATATTTTATATTGGGTCTCCTTATTCACCTAAGATGGAAGTATAGAGGCCATTTACAGGCCCAATCCCACTGCTGATCAGTATAGAAACTTTGACCTTCTCCATTTTCAGCCAGGACTGGTTTGCCCCTCCTTGGGCAGACTGGTGGCTCCCCACTCCCAGAGGCTTACCATGGTGCCAGACTTAAAGTAGATACCCAGTGGGCTTTAGCCTTACTCTAGCTCAGAACTCCTGAGCTCAAACTGTGTACCAGCTCAGTAGAAGGGATTATAGGCATGCACCACCATGTTCTATAAAGAACAATTCTGTATTTAGAAATGATTCACATAGAAATGGAGAATAGCCTACAGGAATCTTTTTTTTAAATCATAAGACCAAAAATTGCTACAAGAAATCCATATTAGGTAGAAGACTATTGTGATCTTTGATATTGTAAAAACAGTGTTTAAAAAATAGTTTTCTCCATAATGAATATGAAGAGAAGTAAACAAAAACAATGTATTCCTTTATATTTACCCTTTTTTAAACAAATGATGACACAAATACAATTAGATACTTTTAAGGAAAATATTGAACATTTTATATTTTCTAAACTTTTTAAAAATTAAAAATATGCAGAAATAAGTAGAATGAAGGTTTTGCTTTTGATTCTGGACTAAAAATGCTCTACTTGGATCCCTTGTTGTCTTCCACTTCAGTTGGTCTTCCTTTTGGTCTGCAATCTGTGATCACAGGCACATTTTGATTTAGGTTGTGTATAAAAATGCTGGATCACATAATCAAGGTCTTACATATTGTAAGATTCTTTTTAAACAGTGGAACATATCTGGCAAATTTTATGTATTTGCATTACCATTGCTTTGGGACAGCTGATAAAAAAGAGAAATGTTGGTCAAGTACACAGATAAAGAGACACAAGAAATAAGATGTCACAAATAGGTGTCACAAAAGGGGATGTGTGGGCCATGAACCACACTCTGGGAGATTAATTTTCTTAAATCTTTTGGTTTGCATTCAGAATCCATCATCATTACAGTTCTCGATAGAGTTCATATACAAGAAGTAAGGAAATGTGACAATGACAAAAAAAAACAACATTAAGGCTAAATTTGCTTCTCTGTGAAGTGTCCCTTTACCAAATGGAAGAAGTGACTTTTATTTTTTTACATCCATATTTAAGTATTTGGTAAAAAAAAAAAAATTAAGTAAACCTCCTTTCACATACAACCCATTCTGTTCCTTTCCTATGTAGCTGGGGGTAAAAATACATAAAAGGAAGTTCCTTCCCTAAAGGTGTTTGTATTTATTAAAAAAATTAATACTTTAATTAAAACAATGTGAATACTTTAATTATCTTATACATTCATTTAATCGTTTAACCTTTTAATCTATATTTGTTCATCTACCTCAAACTTGCCTATATTACATTACAAATTACTACAAATATTACAAATCAGTGATTTCCAAAATAATTGTTGAAACTTTCCTATTCATATTTCTTAAAAGAGTCTAAATTCTTTAATATTAATTCGTTAAAGAACTCAACATATTATAAATGTTATTCACTGTTATTTACAAAATAAATCATTGCTATGCTGAGGTTTTCAAAGGAGGAGATAGGCTCCTGATTAAGATGTTGATGCAAAAGGTCCTAAAGGATCCCAGCAATAAAATACAAGGGGCAGAAGTGATGTCGTTCAGGTTGGCTTTATTCCAGATAAGTTGAGTCAGGTCAGTATTGGCAAAACTATAAACATAATAGACTATATTAATAATAAAAACAAAAATCACATAATTATGTCAAAGAGGGGAGAAAAAGTTTTTTTAAACACAATACAATACCTATTTATGTTTTAAAATTCTCTAAAGTAGAGGAATAAATGTACATTTTCTTAATATTTTTTAAAGTGTCTATATGAAGCCAAGAGCAAGCATTATAGGGAGATGCCAGAATTCTTTCCAGTAAGATTAGAGGTAAAGTAATGCTATCCATTGTCAAAACTACCATATTTATTATGCTTCTAGAAATACTAGGTATAGCCACAAGGCAAGAAAAACCAGCTGAGGGAATAAACATAAGCAAAGAAGAAATAAAATTATTATTTTTTACAGGTAACATTAAAGTTTCTTTAGAAAATCCTAAAAATTCTACTAAAATTAATAGAAACAATTAATAATTTCAATAAGGTAGTAGTTTATAAAATAAACCCACAAAATCATTAGCCTTTCTGTATATTACCATCAAAAATCTAACAGAGACAGAAAAAGAAATTCCATTCAAAACTACAATAGAATATTTGAAATATCCAGGGGTCTACTTTCCAACACACACAGGAATTGTAGATGTAACTACAAAATATTCTTTACAGAAATAAAGGAAGAGTTAAGTAATTTGAGAGAAGTTAATTGCTCATTTTGCATGTGCTAATATGCTAATAATGACAATATCACCTTAATTTAGGGAGTTATGCCAACACAATTAAACTATAAAAGTATTTCTTTATAAAACTAGACAAAATAATAATAATAAAATTTATTTTGCAGAACAAAAAGTCAGGAATCTCAAAGGGAAATTATGAAAAAATAGGAAGGAAGGGGACCTATGAGTAGCAGATTTCAAAACACATACTACAAAACAGTAATCATCAAAACAGCTTGGAAGTGGTTAAAAAATAGAAAGATTGATCAATAGAATAAATTAATCACAAAAGATCCAAAGCCAATTGCTCCTCAGTTTCCTCATCTATAAAATCATCAGGTTGGATTCAATGTCCTCTGAGGACATTCCAGCTCTAACTCTATGATTATATAATCCTATGACTAAGGTAGCATGGTGCTCAACAAAGCCAACGATGGGGAGTACTGGAAAAGGGACTCACTATTCAACAAAAACTGATGGGAAAATTAGAAAACAGACAGGTAGAAATTAAGCTTAGACTAACATATCCCAGTATATTCCATAAAAAGATCCAAATGGATGCTTAGCCTAGATATAAAAGGCCATATCATAAACAAATTAGAGGAGAATGGGAGAAGATACCTATGGCAACTACAGATAGAAACATTTTTGACCATACTAAGAATAGAGATGATTACAGGAAATAAAATTGACAGTTTTGGTTACATAAAATTATAAGTTTTTGCAAAAACAAAATCAATGCAGTTATAATTAGAAGGGAAAACTTAACTGATGAAAAATTCTTTACTCATATTTCTCTGATAATTATCTGATGATCAAGATTATATGGAATTGATCCTAGGCATAACTAGCCAAAATATATGAACGGGCAGTTCTCAGAGGAAGAATTTCAAGCTATTAACAATCATAAAAGAATGTTCCAAATCACTCAAATTAAAGCAAACTGTTGTTTCACTTCACATTCATCAGACTGCTTTTTTAAATTTAGTATTTTATTTTTCTCAATTACATGTAAAAACAATTTTAACATCATTTTTTCAAATTTTGAGTTCCAAATTCTTTCTCTTCCTTCCTCCTCCCCACCCTGCATTGAGAAGGCAAGCAATTTGACGTAAGTTATACATATGTAGTCATGCAAAACACATTTCCATGTAAGTCATGCTGTGAAAGAAAACACACGTTAAAAAAAAAACAAGAAAATAAAGAAAGTAAAGAAAAAGTATCTTCAATCTGCATTCAGGCTCCACCAGATATTTCTCTGGAGATGGACAGCACATTGTCTTGGATAATTGTACTGCTGAGAATAGCTAAGTTATTCACAGTAAATCATCATACAATATTGCTGTTACTGTGTACAATATTCTTCCACTCATCAGATTATAGAAGATGGACATGGAAAAAGCCTATTGTTGGATGAAGTGTGGGAGAACAAGCACATAAACACATTTTTGGTAGAGCTGTGGATTGTTCTAACTGTTCTGAAAAGCAATGTGAAATGATGTCTAAAAAGTTGCTAAACCACCCTATTAATAATACTACTAGTAAGCATATAGCCAAAAGAAATCAAAGGCAAAGGGAGAGGATGTATATGTACAAAAATATTTATAGTACCACTTTTTATTTTAGCAAAAACCTAGAAACAAAGTAACCATCTATTAGAAATGGTTGAACAAATTATGATATGTGAATGTATTGGGCTATTATTATTACATTATAAGAAATAACAAAAGGGATGGAATTAGAGAAACCTTTGAAGACTAGTATTAATTGATGCAGATTGAAGTAAGCACTATTGAAGGAATGATTACAACCATGTAAAGGAAAAGAAGGACGTAAGATTTAAAAGACTTAAAGACTTAGATCAATGCAATGACCAATCATAACTCCAGAAGACTGATGAAGAAGTTTGCCTCCTACCTCTTAAGGGAGAGCTGATAGATTGTGGATGAAGAATGAGACATATATTTTCAGACATGATCCATACAACATAATTTGTTTTGCTTTACTATACTTGCTGCAAAGGAAGGCTTTTATTTGAGGAAGGGAAGAGAGAGGAGAAGAAGTAAGTGACACAAAAAAAAAATAAAAGAAGAAAGGAAAGAAAAGTATCAATGAGTATTTTTAAAATACCCAGAAGAGAACCAAAGAAAGTTCAGAAGAGGACACAGGCAAGCAGGACAATATTGCTACTACCATGTTAAATATATATATATATAATACATATATATTAAACTAGCTCTAAGTATATTCACAATTTCA